AGATTTCTAAAATAATTGTTATCTATAGGTACGTTCATTGAGCGGCATAAACCAGAATTGATCGTAATGAAACATACACATCTATGCTATATCTCCCCTTACATCTTGAGTTAAGTATTGGTTCATTCTCTCGGTCTTTTGATCGTATCTGTTCCTTTTGTTCATTATATTTAGCTTCCCGTTTTAGTTGATATTTTTTTCTTCCTTTCTTTCTTATTCTGACCAATTATTGCTGAGTTGACAAATCACAACTTGAAACGAAACAAATTCGTGCTGAAATTTATCTTTTGTATGATCAGTTGAGTGGTTTTCCTATATATTTCAATGAACAGTAATATGAGATATGTATGTTATCATCCATTATGGATCATTTGATTCAAAAATATAATCATGTATTGTTCGATGTTCTCCTACAAATTATTTAACCTGTTATGTTCAAGTTCAAAAAATATCTTTTTTATTAATAAGCATTTAATGTGAATAATTAAATCAAAATGAATGAAAACAAAATCTCAAATAAAGAGCTTATAGATTAGAAAATATCTGAGATATAAACTTGATTATCAACTGACCAAATATGCACTTGACCAAATAAGAACATTCATCTAAATTTAATTGAATAGTTTCACAGCATTTGAGCGCCAAGTTAATGTCAGACATTAAAGAGGAAAAATGTATTTGTAAAATCTCAACGAATGAATTTTAATTCAAATCCAACGTTTTGCCTGGCAATCTGGTTCAAGCTTTTTCAAGGAAATATAATCAAACATCAAAATTGTCGAATATGTACCTATTTATATTCGATAATTTTGATGTTTGATTATATTCCCATGAAAAAGCTTTGACCAGATTGTCAGGCGAAACGTTGTATTTGCATCAAAATTCATTCGCTATGATTTTGCAAATACACTCTTCCTCTTTAATATACACTTCACTATTTTTATAAAGGGATTTTGTGGAGATTGTAGTAATCTGATAGTTGGATTCATGGGTCGATTAAAGCTAGACTACCTCAGAAAACCTAGGAGCACTAGATGGTCAATTTGTCCTGTTAAGAGACTTCTCAGGAGGGGGCATCCACGATCCTGCTCTCAGGATTTGAAACCAGGACCTATCGGTCCCGTGCACGAACGTTTAAACTCTACACCACTGAGCCGGCATCCAAACGGTGTTACTGTCTAACTTCAACCAATCCACGAAATCGCGCGACTGGTCACCACTGTCTTCAGTGAGTTATATATATATATATATGGGGATTTCGGAAGCCAACACCAGACTAATTCATAAACTTTCAAGAACACATCATGAATACGAAAGTTTAGCTAAAAGATGAATAATGTGGTCTCTTCTGGGTGTAAATATAAACAATATGATCAAAATGAATGGTGGATAAGTACTTTTGAAAAAAAGGATTAGTAATAAAATTGTTTTAATAGAGAACATGCAAATTCAATTACTAATTATATCTTGTGTTAAATACTAGATTAGATTGTAGAAACTAAAACATCAATAATAAGATTGGTTTAAAGCCTATTTCAAGCACGAAGCGATACTATTTATAATTTTCCAACAGTTTATATTGATAAAATAGGTTTTTGTCAAATCGATAGTGTCAGAAGAATTTGTTCTCTTTCGAAACTTCTAGCACAATTATGACGAACAATGAAATGTAAGGGTAGTTTATTTTAAATTAATACATTTATTTCTGCTAACGTAAGGTATTTCTAAAGTTAAAATGATATTGTTTGTGTAGTAAGTCAAGTTTCTGTTATATAACGAAAGTAACCTATCATGTCTTTGAATGACAATCAAAGATAATTCAATGGAAACATTTAATTCTCGACAATATCATTTGCTCAAACTATACAATCATTTCTATAGTTAGTTACCAAATAAAATAGTTTATTCAAAAATAGAAGAACGATAACATAATTTCATGTGTCAAAAGAAAGCTGTGCAACGACAGAGAATTCAACGACAGATGATAAAATGCAATATGTTACAAAGTAATTGACCACTTGACAATTATAAGAAAGATGAAAAACAAATTAAAAAACGTAAAATTAATAATAACGAATAATTAAAATTAAGAAGACTGAAAACATCAGAAGGATATGTTGACTACCAAATTACCATCCATAAAATTAGATGTTAGGATCAAGGAAGAATAAGAGCTTTCATAAGTCACTTTTACACACAGAGCTCAGGCTTGAAAAGGTTACTTACCAACAATTCTGCAACAAATACGTTGTTGGTTTGCTCCCCTCTAGAACTAAATCGCTTGATTGCATAGAATATTTTGAGGTATATTTCAGATGGGGTCATGTGTTTTGAGTTCACAAGATGTTTCAATATTGAATTACTGATTGTTTTACATACACCTTTCGAAAGCCAAACAGGACATTGTTCAGAGATGAGTTCAGAGAACTCTCGGTTTGTGTGACCAATGTAATTAGCTCCATTTCAGCAAGTGCACTTACTAAATTGCTTATATATCCTTAGTTTGATATAGACCATTCAATAACTCTGGAGATTTCTAATCATCAACTGGAATGCCATTCATTTTGTGAATGTAATCTTTTATGTCAAATCCAGAACTAGTCCACTTCAAACAACGTATTCATCAGTAGGTTTGATAGAACACTAATCTCTTTATAGATTCAAAAATTTCTATCTTAATAATACTTTTATCACTCTGTTTATTGAGCTGATATTATTATCGAATTTTTGTAAGAAAGACATTAATCCTGTTCATAGGTATATCAGATAATTGGACTACATAATTTGTTTTATGTTAAAAGCTTGCTAATTATAACTAAGACATTAGTTTATTGTGGCAATCTACGAAGTTACAGAATAATAAACCCCATATTAAAACCTTAATTCCCAAAAAGAACAGCACATTGTGGATATACTTCTTATGGTTATTTTAAAATAAGTGTTGTGATAAATGCTTCAGTATACATTTTACTGAATTACAGTCACAAATTTGTGACTTTTTTCGATAACCTCTTCTAGTTACTTTACAAAATTAAGAAAAATTTACTCCGATTATTTAATCAGTAGTAATCTGATGTTGGGATATAAATGTATCTTGAAATTTCGGCATTCGGGAATATTACCCAATAGCTCCTTTAATATTGTAGCATTAAATTGATTGAAATCATTTTCAACAGGATGTCAATGGTTCTTTTCTTATTACAACTAATTAAACTGTATTGACATTTTTTCTGCAAACTCTGCTTCCTCACACTAAAGAGGCATAATATAATACTCACATGTATGATTGTTTGTTGGTAATAGTTGCATAGGCAGAAAAGAATCCCTTCAAGTTCATACTTGATAAAAACATAGAACACTACTTAGAATGATTCAGAAAAGTAGTAATCAAATGCATCATAAGTTCAGTACTATCTCACTTAGCCCTACAGAAAATAATCTATTTTTTCAAGAATATGTAGACAATATTGGTGTTATTTTCTTTTTTTCATGTTATACCATTTAATAAACATACCAATAGCTGTCAACATTTTTCAACTAGACATATATATGCAGAACTAAGTTCTCTGTTAACCGCTTGTGACTTAATGGCAATATTGTGGCAATCCGTATAGGATTCACATATGTCCGTAAGTGGTTAATCAATTGCAGTCCTAAACATCGACAGGAAGATTCAAAAAAACAATACAGAGATGAATAACGATAAGAACGATATTATGCAAATAATCGTGTTGAATCAGTGTAAATATTTTCATTTATGATCTAATAATCATTACCTAGCTTTACATATCTACTTATCTCGTACATAACCTCATTGTTGTTCACATATCTAATTTTATTTCTTATCATGTTGAATGACTATACAATCAATCATCAATTTCATAACGTTTGCATAACAACCTCTCTTATCTTCATTATGAGTCCTAGTAACTATAACACTCAATCTACTCTGCATTACTACTTTCCAACAAATAAATATATACTGATTCTAATTATGCATATTTTCATACTTTATGTCTCAGTCGTCCTCTTATTCTTATTTTCATTACGCTTCGAACATTTGTTTAAATTTCACAAACTACAATATCTTATCAGTCTTATGTGCAAACACCTCAAGATCACTGAACCGGAATCCAATGGTGTTAATTTCTAATTGAGTCCTATACTAAGACGAAGTGGCGGTCCAGTGCTTCCCGGTTTTAAATAATGGACCAGATTAAATCGACTCATTAATTGAACTATTAAAGTATTTTAAATATTTGTTAATATTTCTATTAAGAATTAAAACTTTAGGCTATATCCAGCTGATGACATGCCGTCAAATTCAATATAAATTTGCTTTATTCTACCAACCTTGTTGTTCTTGCTCTGTTTAAAATTATAGATGTCCAACTGATGTCAGTTGGAGAAATAGGGAAAACCAGAAGTTCTAGAACTAAATAGACATTCAATAACTCGCTGTTTTTGAAAATCGTCTAACTGACTTTAGATCATAATTGAAACTACTTTTATATTTTAATTTTACTCTTATTCAGATATTAATATGGCTATCGATTCCAAAGAATGTCAATTCTTTAGCGTGCTAGCAAACTTCAGGTAGTTTTATAATCGTTTAAAGGATTATAAGCTCAGACTGACGATTGTAATAGTCTCTCTGAGTTCAAATAATACAACACAAGGTAGAGAGATAATTCGGCTGAAGAAAATATTGTAAACACAAAATCAGCAATGAACGCCTCAACTATTTACTGATCACGCTAAAAACTTGGATAACGTATATTTAGATCACAGTAATAACCAATTAGCTAGTTATATCATTAAAAACACCATATTTTATCTATTTTGAGCCTAAAACTACAATAAATTAGGCTGACCAATCAGATGAAACTGTAAATTGGGTAAGTCAGGATTTTTTATTCCGATTGGTTATTAAAATTATTTTGCCTAAAATAGTAGGATTGTAATCAAATCAGGTATAAAGTTTACTTTGTCATTATATTCAAACACACATAAATGCAATGCATGATATGGCCAAACAGTTTAGTTATCTAGTTGTTCATTAATAGCTACCAACAACTGCGAACTGTCATTATTACAAATATACTGATCTAGAGAAGTTCAGTAATTATTACTTTCACATTACATAATTCAAAGGAATATCATAACGGATAGTGAAATTTATTATTGACCTAACAAGTGTCTGATATTAAATCAAACAGGTGCAAAATATATGTTTTGCTTTTGCAACCTGTTCGACGGAATAGAAAGTACACTATGATTACACCCTATCTATAACCTTCATGGCCCTAAATACTATTCACTAACCCTGGGAATCTATAAGAATACTAATATCAAAGAATCTTTTGACAAACACATAGACACGTTCATTTAGTAATTGATCATGTGTATTCTATGATATTCAATTTGGGGCAAAAAGTAAAAACAGACGGTTCAATCAATAAAACACAATTTTTTAAATCAAAAAACGTTTGAATTCTATCAGAAGAATCTACATTCTCATATTATGGATAATCGTAGCAGAAAGAAAAACAAATCAATCTCTTGTTTAGATGAACAAACCGACATTATCACTTCTGTTAATCTCAATAAACAAAATAATATTAACACTAATAGTAATAATACCGATAACATTACCAGTAATAATAGTAACAATAAACACTTTACGACATCATCACCTTCAACTTCATCATCACCAAAAATGAAAACATTGAGAACAACGATAACAGCAATTAAAACACCAACGATGAATAGTCCTGCTCGGAAGATTATGAATACATCATCTCACTCACCATCATCACTATCCTCTGATCAATCAACAATGGTAACAGTTAAAACAAGTCAAAATATTGATAGTGAAAATCAAAATGGTCAACAACAATCATCGTCATCAGCATTAGCACAGAATACAAACAACACAACTAAAGTGGATACTAATAATATTCATAGTTTTTCATCAACTGATTCTGGTCGTAGTAGTATAAGTAGTAGTCAGACAAGTAATGGTGAGGAAGTCTCCGAGAACAGATTTGATAAAACTAAAGTTAATGCATTGACAGTAACAAAAACTGATGTAAGATCAGATAGTCATAAATCAGATGGTAGTAGTAAGAGTAGTAGTAATAATAATAGTAACAATGATAACTCTAATGATGGTTTACCGTCTGTTTCAAGTGAACTGGATATCTATTCTGATGTGACACTTATTCCAAGATCAACTGTAACAGTTGATTTCACTATAAAACCAGGGAAAAAATCTACGAAACGTGTTAATGGACGTAAACCAGTCAAAGGGATTAAAACAACTACACGACACAATGTTGATAGAACAAAACAAAATGAACTGGTAAGTTGAAACTAAAGAAAGAACTGTAATTCATACTTATATATTAACTATAATTAATTATCGGAATGGGTTTTTGTGGAGGTTGTAGTAATTTAATAATTGAATTCATGAGTCATTTAAAGCTAGACCACTGTGCAAAGCCTGGAATCACTAGATGACCGTTCTGTCCTAGTATGGGACTCCTCAGCAATGCGCATCCACGACCCTGCTCGCTAGACTTCAATGAAAGATAATTTACTATTCAATTGTTCTATAACTCTTAAGGAAGTAGCATTTAAAGGTTTGATTCTTTAGAGGCGAGTATATTAGCATATATATATAATGGTTGTCTTTTTACTAGATTCAAATCTATTAAATATATCCTATGTTATCGTTATTTGTATCTTGGTTAAACAGTTTTCAGTCACCCAGAATATACATTATTTTCCTTAAACAAGCACAATTACAATTAATAGATAGCATGGTTAAGTGGTCAATTACGAAATTGGTTCATCTGTATTAACCGTACAACTATTTTGAGAATTCAGAAATGCTGACCAACATATAACGTTTGGTTTTGTCAGTTAAATTGAAATCTAATGTTTTAGATTCTGAAAAGGATGACTTAGTGCTAAGTGGACTAAACTTGAAATATTCTAGTAATTACTCATTGCAGAATTCTCATGCTTTCAGTAAAATGTAATGACATGAATTATGGTAAAGTATTCTGGATTGTGACTAGAAATATAATGAATTAAGGTAGTATCATCCCATTTTCGGCTTATCGACCGTCAATATCTGCATGCAAATTTTGAAGTTCAAATTATGTGTTGATTCCAGTATTTATCGCCTAAAATACCAAAACGTTGTTCAATAAGCTACTAAGTTCAGATTCCCATTACTTTTTCACTGAATATGAGGTTTTTTGTAAAAATTACTATTATTTTCTTCTTGATATTCAATTTTATAACTGTCCGGTCTTAGTTAACATATGTATTTCCTGAATATGTGACTCGATTAAACTTTTCAGTTACTACATTTGAATTGTTATTATCAACGTAAACTGTTTAATCACAGTAATATTCTTCTAAAAACAGTACTCTGTCCTGTCTCTATTGTTCATAACATCACTAATCCTCATCATGAAAATAAAAGCGGAATTTCATCTTACAAGTTAATAGCATCATTTGATCGCTTGAATACTAGTTTATAAATCGTTTACCTAATGAACACAGTAGTTTTTGATAGACGTTTACTAATATTACTCTTGTATTACTCTATTTCCAAACACTAGGCCTCGAATGAAATAGAGCAAGGTAATTATGTTACTAGTTTGACAAGAAAATGCTATGATCATTCTACGGATATATATATATATTTCACAAGTTGAAATCATGAGTCAATTGAAGCTAGACCACCATTGAAAACCTGGAAGCACTGGACGGCCGTTTCGTCCTGGTATGGGACTCCTCAGCAATGCGAGTCCACGACCCCGCACCTCGCGGGATTCGAACCCAGGACCTACTGGTCTCGCGCCAAGCGCTTAACCAACTAGACCACTGAGCCTACCGGTGTCCAACGGTGTTAATGTCTAACTTCAACCAATTCACGAAGTTGCACCACCATACACCATTGTCTTCAGTGAGTTCCTATCTCACAACAGATCTGGTTGAACTCCACTGGTAACGACTTCTCACTAGAACTCCAGAAGTATCTCCTGAAGTCAGTCACTAGTGAGCAGGTGGTTATTATTATCAGAATGGGTTTTGTGGAGATTATTAGAAATTTCACAAGTTGAAATCATGAGTCAATTGTGAGATAGGAATTCACTGAAGATAATGGTGTACGGTGACGCAACTTCGTGGATTGGTTGAAGTTAGACATTAACACCGTTGGATGCCGGCTCAGTGGTCTAATGGTTAAGTGCTCGCGCGCGAGACCAGTAGGTCCTGGGTTCGAATCCCGCGAGGTGCGGGGTCGTGGATTCGCATTGCTGTAGGAGTCCCATACCAGGATGAAACGGCCGTCCAGTGCTTCCAGGTTTTCCATGGTGGTCTAGCTTCAATTGACTCATGATTTCAACTTGTGAAATTTCTAAAAATCACAAAACCCATTCTGATAATATATATATATATATATTTGCCCGTGTGTCCATATAACCATTGTACAAATGCGAAATGATCCAGTCCATCATAACTAAAACAATAAGTAGTTTTGATGGAATCACAGTCTGTAATCTCCATTTTAAATATATATATATACTGAATATTGATTTTAACATGACTATTTAGAATATTATATTATTCAATACAACTAATTTTCCATATATTATGAAAGGATACTAAAGCAACATTTTGGGTAACATTAGAAGATACTGATTATATATTATGTACTACTAACAAGTTGAATTAGAAAAATTTACTTTAAAAAATGATCAATTGTGTGTTCAACATTTAAGAAAGGTGAATTTTATCGAACTAGTTTTTTTTTGAAAGATTTTGTAAATATATTAAGATTAAATCAATATTTAGTTAACAACCTAACTGTTTGTATTATTTGATTTTACTAAATAATAAATAAGTAAAATGAGATTGTACATTAAATAGAATGAGTGTTATTGAAATTAGAACAGAATATATGTTTGTATGAATCAATGACACTTTTGATTGCAAAAGATTGCTCATAATTAGTAAAATTACTTATTTAAGAAGATAGGACACTTTGAAAGAATCTATGGAATTATTTTATAAGTAAGCCGCAGACTCGACATTTTGATAGAGGGAGTTGCACAGACTGACGAAAAGAATGTGGCACGACGAGCATGAACCACCGCAAGAACGAATGCTTTAAAGGGGGGATAAGTGTGATGTGTGCTACTTATATCGAAATAAGTAGTATATGAGGTTAGTCGTGAACAGAATGTCTGGCAGCAGAGAGACAAGAGGATCGGATAGTAAAGAATGGAGAGAGAAGGCAATTTGTATGAAAATGCAAGAACAATGAAGTCTGAGTCATTATGAGTCAATTGGTGGACACTTTTCAAATTAAGCATTTACTTTATGATTGTTAGACTTCATTACCAAGTCCTGTAGTTTTGTGTTAAATACATACGATTGTCCCCACCCATGTTCTGTTCACTATATCATCACTGAAAGCTAAGACGCTTATGTCAAGTTGCTAAATTTTCAACCAGCGAACTTTAAAGCTCAAACCGTATTACATAACCATTCAATATAACGGATTAAAAGCGAATCTAAGGCAATAAACATCTTGATTCCAGTTAGAATTTTAAATACTTGTTTGGTAGATATTCTATTTGAGAAATATGAGAAGAATCGATATTTCACAAATGTATTGGTTAATTCGAGCGTTCTTGGTATGAGACCGTATTAAAGAATCAAGAAAGAGTATTGGATCAAAATATAAAAAGCTTTTTAATACTGCCGTTTTTCTGAACACTACACCAGTTTATATCGTTTCGTGACGAAATTTCTACAAAACTGCTTTAAAGTGTGAATTTTTTCAATGAATACGAACTAATGTATGTTTTTTTGTTAAGTTCATAACGAAATATGTTTGACCGAAATTGAAATAAACGTTAATGTTGGGTCGATACATGGACTTGAAAGTCATGAACAAACCGCAACCAAAAGCCCTATATTTATTTTGTTTTATTTGTTGGAATCTTCCCAATGATGTTTAAGACTACAATTGATCAGTCTCTTATAGGACGAAACGTTCGTCCTGGGTTCCACTGTTAGTCACCATCTATCTTTGCTTAAAAAATCGTACATTTTCTTTATATATGTTTGGTTATCATTGATAAAAAGCTACAGAGACAAATATGCATTGTTTTTAAGTCTTACCTAATCGATTATTGATTTTAAAGTAAAAAAAAGAATAATGAAAAACATTTAAGGGAGTGGCATAGTACACATTAAATCTATTTAGTGTGAAAAGTAACTAATGAAAATATAAACGTTTTATTAGTGTAACAAACTAGTGAGTGACTTTTTTTTTGTTACTTAAATTCCCTAATATTTCGATACAAAAAGAATTAATCTCAAATTATATTCCTGTCATGTGATTTACATTAGTGGCTAGAAAAATTTCTTTATTAAAATTTTGTATTAGAGTAAATGGAAAATGTGACCGAAAGAATATGGTAATTACGAATTTTAATGTATTAATTTATTTCTACATTGTACTTATTATGGGAATGTTGTTTTTATAATTATTGTCCACCATAGTTTAAGTTAGTTGTATGTTGATTGATATGTACTTCGGTTTTATTAATGCTTCATTTTATTATAAAATTTTTATGGTTCCCATGGTCAGTCACCATTGATTCCAACTTGCTATACTGTTTAACTGATAAAGTTGATCAGGAAATGTTTACTGGGTGATTTGATTAAATCATTGCATCAGCCAATAAATTTATTGACTACTTGATCAGGGCCTACTGGAATATACAAACTATCTACCTTAGTTTTTCAGAATAGTTATAGTTTACGGTTACAGACTTTTATCATGTAATAGCTAGAACAATAACCTAGGTGATTTTATTCTTAACCTTTCTTGAATCCTAAATTTTTGTTACTCATAAGCAATAATATTTTTTGGATTTATTTCAATTTTATTCTTTCGAAATCCTCTGATTGTACTAATCAAAAGTGTATCAACATGTCTCTACGATCATTTATACTACATTTAAACGTAGTTAAGGCTTGAATAAATTTTTACTTAAGTACTCAACTTAAAGAAATCCAGGTATTCAACTTTTAAGCTATCATTATTTACTAAGTTCTCTAGACGGAAAACATGTGATTAAACATGTAAAGTGAAAAAAAAGAAACAATTAACATGCTTCAAAGTAACAATAAACCAACTTCATTTTCAAAATCATATGACATTCATTTCATAAAAGAGAAACATGCATCATTTATTTGATAAATGATATAATGCTACTTAATAATACGAATAACTATTCATCTAGACCACCAGCCATGTTATCCCCATAT